TGATTGAATTTCAAACAAGCAAACAAACACACAAACTTTCACATTTATAATATTAGTAAGATAAGATAATGATAGTGTAATTTTTTTATATAATAAAAATTATAATATAGTAATCATTTTACATATTTTTAAGTTACAAAAACGGTCTCACAGTCTGAAGATACCAAAGGTGTAGGCCAATCAAAGTCGCCATTACTCTATGGGTAAAAATGCATTTTTTGAAGTCTCAGTCAAAAGGTTAAGAATATAAGGAATTCTGATGGTTTATTTTTTTTACACTAACAAGTCCATAAAATTTCATAATATATCAGTGAAGGCTTTAGTAATTTGGAAACAGTATTTAACTTTTGATAAATGTATTATATTTTTTTTTTATATGTTACCAATACTCAGATGGTTTTTTTTCACGATAACCCCCATAAAAATGTAAACATATATAGGAGTAATAATTTTACATATTTTTATCTTTTATGATTTTAGTTATATAAAAAAAAAAATCTAAAATGGTCTCGCAGACGGAAGACACTAAATGTGTGATAAAAATCAAGACACCACTCTAGAGAAGTAATAAACATGATGGTATACCCAAATATTTGTCTTCAAAGGATTACTTTAGACTGATTTTGGTGTCATATTTTATCTACTAAGATAATGGCTTTGTACTGTTCTTGTAGGCCTAAATGTTAAATATAGTCAAATCTTGATTATCCAACCTACAGTATTCAAGAGAAGAACAGGCGCAGAAAGTCACTCGATCTTCCACCGGAGGTGTTCAATAAGTTAAGTATATTCATAAGCATAAGCACAAGCTTATTCAATTTTAGGGATCCAAGAACAAATATACAAAAGCGTTCCAGAGAGTTTGTATGCAACCTGTACATGAATTTGAACTCGTGGTGTTTTTGATCTCTGTGGACTTCAAAACGGAAAAGTAAATCGGTCCCGGGTCCAGGTCTTATGGCGAGACCTACGGTAATGGCTTATTCCCTATAGGGTTAAATTTGCTAAAAATAACCCCGCAGCAGCAAACCTGCAAACTAGTGATGGTCGGATCCGGATATCGGACTACCGGATCTGAGCTAGAACCGAAGCCCGATCGGATCCACAAATGGAATGGAATGGATCCGATTTTTTTTATACTATTAACACAAAACGGGCGAGTATTCGAGTTCGAGTAGAGTACGGCCTTGAAACTCGAGCTTATCTTTGAACTCGCCAGTTTGGTTTAAAATTGTAAAAAATCAATATTTGTTGAAATGTAACTTGTGTTTACATAAAATGATGGATAATTTGTATTACTGTAGATTCTACAGTAATACAAATATAGAAATAACCAAAAGAGGTAGTTGTCCTAACCTATTTTTATAGCTGTCACGACAGAATAGGTCAACTCAAAGCAGTCACCGGCAACTGACTGGCAATGGTATACTGACTTGACACAGAATAGAATGACGTGATCGGTAGTGATTTTGTTTTAAAGTAAGCCTACTGTTTCACAATAGAAAATTCCACTACTGAACTGTTACGTAAGCAATAAATTTATGTTTATAAAAGTCAGAATAGAAACACTATAAAGGCAAAACAATAGAAGGGAGGGAGGGGTTGTGCAATGACTTCGAAATGAGCGGAATAGCAAAATTGAGTAGGGGGTTGGGGGGGAGGGAAGGGTGAGACCTTTGAGCTATATTTAGACAAGACTTTCACAACTTCCCTAATGGCTGGGTACGGGGATTACAATAGCAGGTTTTTCATTGCCTGGTTTGACTTTTGTCTTTTTGTGTAGGAGATTTGAATAATCAAACACTAAAATTAATAGAATAACAATAACACACAAAGTAAACAAGAAATGAAATACAGAACACGATGATTTAACACTGTCACTCAATTTTGTTGTCTAGAAGGGTCGGTGAACTAATCAATAAATAGCCAAAACCAGTTTCCTCCCCCTCTTGCAGTCTCACCACCACCCCTACTCCCCCCCTAAGCCGGGAGGCCCAAAACTTTGTCCTTGAAACACCCTAGCCTCTGAAACAATAAACCCTTACACCCGCCCGTGTTTCTGTTTTGACAACAGGTTTATGAATGCGTTCACTATTTTTCATTTTCCAGAATTAACTATCAATTATTATTATTTGCAAGTTACAAATAGGAAACTACATGACATTATGGTATTCAATGACCCATGTATTATCAAAAATTAATAATTCATTACTTATTTTGATAATAAAAAGCATTCATTACATCACGCAGCACTTATTGATATATATATATATAATTATCAAAGTTACTGTTACTTTATACAAAATAAAATAGGTACAAAATTGTGTGGCCAGTCAAACTTTATAAACAAATATTTTATTCTATAAAATACAGATGGTAAATAGGGGTTGGTTTAAAGGAAATAAAATACAAAACAGATTAATTAATTATTTTGATAAATTATAGAAAGGTTATGGGATTGATTGAACTAAAATAACCGCAGGGAAACTTATAAGTAGAAAAGACGTCAACCACAATCTGTTTAATCAGTACATCGTTGAGAGAGAGAGGGGGAGAGAGAGAGATAGCAGATAGGGGCGTTTGATAGGGAATCTGAAACAAGGAACAACGATGTGACAATACTCGTTTATAGCCTTATTGTCTCGTCCACTACATTTGCACACGTGACCACTTTTTGTTTCTTCCTTATCTATCATCCGTCCCAAAATGGTATTCCTGAAATAGTTTGTTGGTATAATCTCCCCTCCCACACAAGGCGCAGTGCTCAGTGCGTACACTGTAGGTTGTCACGGCAACCGTGTGTCGTCATAGCGACTAGCCAATCACGCACTCGCACTACGTTGTAGATTACGATACGAATAGCTGTGTTAGAAAGACAGCGCAATAGGTGGTAGTTTGTCTCTTTCGTATCTCCTCAAAATTACGATCGATAATCAGATAATCATTGCGCAACGTAGAATTGTGATAACTTTGTTTTCAATAACGACACATATTAAGTGTTTTTATATGGACACAGTTAGTCTTTGACATTGCCTAGCCATATGAATTATTTTATTTAAAAAACCCGCCCTTGAAAAAATAAAAAAACTTATCTGTATTTGGATCCAGTACCAGGGCCGGATTTCCCAATAGGCCCGGGCCTATGGGCGCGAGCTCCCAGAGGGTGCACGGGCGTGAAGATTTTTTTAAATATCTAAAAATAAATAGTCATACTTAAAAAAAAAAAAACTCTGGCTAGTAAAGCATTCTGGTTCCGAAGTTCATAGGTAGAAATAATTGTTAGAAAATGTAAACTATTCAGAATTACACATCAATTTCGTTACAACATTGGTAATACGGCACTACAGGAGTAGGCTGTAGGGATGTTGACGACCGCACTGGCACTATGCTGGCTGGCCTGGCGCTACTGATTGGAGGGATTAGGGGCGCATGCATGCTAGACACTGTTACCACCCTCACCTTACAAAACAAAAAATCTTTTGATTAGTTTACTACAATCTGCATGATCAAGCTAAAATATATAATACGTCGTGTTTAATATTTTTTAAATGATGAATTCATCTTTAAAATTAACGAAAAAATATTAATCTCAGTTTGCAATAGGTTTTACAAAAGTTCAATACCCTCCAAAGCACCATAAATGCTGTAATTTTCTCCTCAGACCTAAGGATGAGTATGGTTGGCCGGAATATTGCTCCGTTTTGCTTTTAAAATATAACCTAGATGCAGTATGGCCATAGATTAATATAACTCAAATCAACTTCTTATCACATTGTGAATTAATTTTTTTCACGTCTAGTTCATGTTGGTGACACTGGACGTTAGTTTGACTTACTTTTGTTTCTATTTTTTTAGGGGTAGTTCTATGATGTGTGTTTTAATTTCTTGTAATATAACCAGGAGACGACCTATTGTTTGTGATTAGATCGTTTTATTTAGGATAAAATAGGTTTAATAACAATAAATGTTTTAAGCTAAGAATGATGACAAGTCTACTAAAGGAGTATATTTAATCTATGGTAAACGTAGTGTATGTAGTTCATGTTATTGGGCCTGAAATTGGAATCAATGGCCATGTTTTTTTGCAGGAATGCTCGGAGGGTGGAGTTGTTTTGTTTCAGTCCCACAAACGTGAGCATTTACTAAAAGCATAAAATTGCTAAACGTGTTTAAGACGGCATATTGTTGCTAAACAAGTCAAATCTTAAAATAACTTGCAATGATAAAATTCCGACGTGGAGTGGTATTCAAGCAATTAACTTAGGCCTAGGGGCACGATATAGTTTTAAATAAAGGTTTAAAGGAATGTAACTGTGACCAGACTATATGGGGCGGAAAATTATTTGGGCCTGGGGGCGCCAAAATGTTAAATCCGGCCCTGACCGGTACCAACATTTTCTTGGATCCGCCCATCACTACTGCAAACTATAGTTATTTGTGCAACTAGTGAGAAAAGTGAGCAATTGACTCACTCGAGAGAAATCCTTACTCACGAGCCGTAGGCGAGTGAGGAATGGTTTCTCGAGTGAGGCAATTGTACTTTGAACTCGAGTTGCACATTATACTTTTCCTACAGTTACCATAAAAAAATAAATTGGTGAAGAAACATAACCTATTTTTACACAGAAGTGAACTGACGTGCGAATAGCCACTGCCTTTAATATAACATTTAATGGGAAGTGAAAAATACAACAGTACAACAGCTGACCAGCTGATTTAAAGCCAGTGCTGCCAACGTATTTCGCGCACATACGACGTTGCCTGCATGTTACGCGCTCACTATTTCGTGCCTTCACGTTGCAAATCTGGAGTGAGACAAAGTAATTAGAGTGAGACAATGTTAACATTGTCTCACTGATGAGCGAATTGGCCACTTTGCTTTCTCAAATCAGTGAGTGAACATGTACATTGTTAGGTAACTGTAGGAAAAATGAATTTCCTAGTTAGATTTTCAATATATTTCTTATTTAGGACTAAACAATGTTAATTTTAATGAGTACTTAGGTTTGGGCCTTTTTGTCTTCTTTTGGTCTTTTTTCTGGGGATGGTGTGAGTCATCAAAATCTTCCTTTGACGATTCTTCTATTGTTACAGGAAACTGCCCTGCAAACATACAGATTTATCAAACCTTAAAAACAAAAACAGACAATATGTTCTAAGTGAACTATAAGGTTAGTTGATCAAATTGTTTACTAACATTTCAATTCAAATGTACTAGGCATGGGCGGTAGTTAGCTAACACATATCTGAAGCGGATTGCACGGACCTTTCGTGTTAAATTAAATGAAAGTTTGACCTTTTTTATCTTTTAATTAGTCATAGTCAAGAATTTATTCATAGGTAAAGTAACATACTTAGCCTACATGAATACAATTTTTAATTCATCTAAGTATAAGGACAGGTCCATTAAATATACCTTGAGACTCCTTTTGGAAATATTGGGTTTTAGTTCCATTTAAATTTTTAAAGGAGGAGGAAAAATTCATGTTCTGCATTGACAGTCTTTTTTAAGAGCCCTAATTTATGATTTACAACGAGAAAGTTATTTTTGTTCAGTGTATTGTGAAGCGGTCCTGCCAACATTCATCGTCAGATGACTGAAGTCATGAAGCAGTGAGATGGCTGATGTCATTTGCAGGCCCTAATGCAATTTGTGAGGGTTAACTGTTGAAATGGGCACTTTATGGGTTTTTTATAAGTTAAAACAACATAACCTGCAATAGAGAAAACTGAAAACCTTATCTACCAGCTACAGTGCAACCTCTGTCAAGCCCAATAATAGGCCTAACCACCCAAACGATAAATAAATATAAAATCTTAACCCCTTTATAATTTGACCCATTACATCCTTACTTTCTAACCTGGCTAGGATTATGATCCCTTTTCAGAATGAGTGTGTAATTTGAAAGACAGACATCAACAAATTACTTACTTTTTAAAGACCTTTTCTTTTTATTGTTGCTGCATGACAAATAAGTAGTCATTTTCTTGATTTTCTTGTAGTAATTGTGGATGTAGTACTTAATGTCGCGCCAAGAGCGACGATCCAAAGCCGAGTTCTGCCTGATGCACTGTTCGCACTCTTTTTTTCCTGGAACCACACGTTTTTGGATCGCCAAATGGAAGAAAGTCATCACTGCATCCTTTTCTTCAGTGGTCCATGATCGCTTAGGTATTGGTTCTGAAATTAAATTTTTATCGTGTTAAGAAATTTAATGGTAGGAATAAAAAATTGGTTTACCAATGAAGCCTTATACTCAGTTTTATAAGTATCCCACAAGCTTTTAAAATAATTAAATATTTGACTAAAAAATGTAAATCTGTCTTTCAGAAAAATTAGTTTTTAAGCATAAATTAGGCTTTGTTTATAGCAGATAAAAAAATTGTAAAAAACTTTGGAATAAGGTAAGAATAGGGTGAGCAGTGATGGAGTGTGATGATATAGCTGCAAATTATGTCTTGTGAAGTTCACTCCTCAAGTCTGCACTGCGAGTAGTGTTGAATTTAAAACTATTCTTTACAACAAAATCAAACATATTTGCAAATAGATAATGAAGATACGCTCGATGTTGAGCAAAATATATGTCCATTCTTGCTATCATTTAAAATTTAAACTGAAACAAAAATTAAGAAAACAGAATTTTTTTACTTTTTTTAAATTTACTATTCTTTTAGTGAACTTGAATGCCGGCTATTTGAATTAAAACCAGAACTCAATGGAACTCTGTATATGAAGTATATTGATTGATATTACAGTATGTAGACACCCTGCTAGTCTGGAAAGTTCGGCACTTTGGCGGTGCCGGATTGTTGAAAATACCAGATTACTCTGCAATTATTGCGAGACTAGAGAAAATATTGCTAATTATAGAGCATCAAACAAATTGATGGCTGGCAGGCTATCATTACATGTTTTACTGTGCTTTCCCATATTTCTTATAGTAGTGATGAAATTGCTAAAAATAAAAACGTAATAAATATTATGTAAATAATAAAATGTATAATAAAATGTAATAAATTAAATAGAAGTCGCTCTCCACGTAGGAGGGTTGCTTCTGGTGTATGACGATCGCTTGCAACAAATATTTCCTGCACTGGGAAAACTATTACAAGTGCGGTCGCAAACGTTTGCAAAGGAAAGCTCAGCCTACAATGGCCAGTTAAAGTTCCAGGGTCTCCGATAGGGGACGCTCCTGACTTAGGACAATTGCTCGCCAGATATAACTATCCCTTCTGAGGTAGGATGATTGTTCCCGAAATAGGACGGTTGCTCGCCACGTAGGAGGATTGTTCTGAGGTAGGCTGATCGCTCTTGACAAAGGACGATCGAGCAGGCTCTGTTGAGAGCTCTCATTGGGCTTAAAACCGCACTCAACAAAATTTATTTGACTATTTTACACCAGTATTGAAAGTGCAGAACATTAGATGACAGAAGACCACCGGTATAGTAGGTACTGTGCAATTTTTAAAAATCCTCATCAAAATTAAATTTAAGACTTACTCCTTAAGGGCCTTTTTGTCTTCTGGTGTTCTTTTTTCTGAACGTTGTATGGGTCATCATCCTTTGACAATTCTTTCATTGTTACATCAAACTTCCCTGAAATCATAAAAATCCATTAGATATTTGTCAGTTTATAAAAAGTAAAAAAGCTAATTTACAACAATTTTAAAACAATTTTAATTTAAATGTACTAGGCATACAGCAATGAGCTAACAAAAATATTAAGTGAATTGGAAAAGGTCATTGGTAAATTATTGGGAAATTTTAACTTTTTATCTTTAAATTACATTTTTTCAACTAAATCTTTTTCAATCAACATAGTTGATTGAATTGAAACCCATGTTGGTGGGGAGATTGGGATTGTAGTCTGGTTTAGACCCAGTGACTGCTGGTACGCAAGGTAAATAAATGCTAAAGAAACTAACAGTTAGAGGAATTGGAAAGGTTGTAGCTTTGGTACCGTAGGCATCAAACCATTTGCCTCAGAGCAAATCTATATCTGTGAATTGTAATTGCCCGAGGCGCTATCGTCAACCCATTCTCAGGTTACAGCGCCAGTGCAAAGATCTCCCGCAATCACGGCTCCATAGTCAACATGTATTACGCTCACAGCGCAATCACCAACACATTCCGCCGTCACAGCACTATATTCAAAATGTCACAGCGCCATCTAGAACATCTCCCGAAATGATGACACGATTGTCAAAATGTTCAATGCTCGCGGCACAATCGTCAACAACCGACCCCCCTATCAGCGCTATTGTGAACCTTGTTATTTATAATCATTTTCTGTGTTATACGACATTATTGATTAGGTCTGATAGTTGATGAAAATTATGGAAATTAACACATACAATTCACTATTGTATTGGCACTATTGTAATTCTTAATGAATGAACAATAAAGAATATTGTATTGGATTGTATTGTAGTTGAGACTTTACTGAATATATAGATTAGATTAGCCTGTATTTCTAAGCTCAATAAACTTTGAAGTTCACAATTTAAAATAAACCAGAGTTAATGTTTCAATTACTTTAAGAAATTGTTAATGTCAGTTTAAATGACATTATTACACCATTTTAGGTTTTTGATAAGAGTGATATTTTTGTAATTGCACTACATTAAGAAAATCTCATACAGTAACGAGTTTGCTTCGGCATGGACTTGTTGCAACACTCACTTCAAAGTAGTGCCTTTGAATATTGATTAGATGATATAACTGGACGTTCCATCCCCATGTCTATGTTGTCACCAGGTTTTAAAATAGAAATGTATGGAAAACTTTGTATTGAGTTGGATCGTGATGTTTAATTGCTGATTTTTGTTGAATATGCACTTTCTAACAAAGTCAAAATGATAGGACTTTTTATTGCATCTGAAAAGTCTTGTCAACTATCTCAGGAATGAAAAATGTGGTTGAAAATATAATTTTAGACACTGGTTCATTCTACTTTATTCTTTATCACTAAAAAACTGGCGACAGCTGGTCTATATGGATGGAATGTCAACTTCAGTATCCACTTACTGAACTAGAACATTCACCAGTAAATACCCCACAGCAAACATGTCCAGTTGTTTTAAACTGTACTGCAGAGAATCTCATGATTGAATACCTAATATATGACCAGGGAATATCATCAACAATTTTAAAAATGTTATAAATTAGGGTGAACAAAACACAAATTTATTTGAACAGGGAGATGTAAAACCAAGTAGGAAACGAAAGCTTAACTAAAAGGTATAGAAAGAAAAAAATCTTGTTTCATTGGGATCCTACCTGCATTGTGATTAAGTTCTGAGTTTGCACCTACTTCTTTGGTTGATTCTTGAGATTCGACAATTGAATTTGAGAAACATTGTACGGACCATTTTATTTCCATTAAATTAAGAAAATCTTTTAAAGATTCACTCTTTGATTTATTACAATTTCTTAAGGCCTCGCCTCGCTCAATAGTGATACATCTCCTCAAACTGAATCCTAATTTCAGAGCCAAGGAAGGAATTTTATACTGAGGCTGTAATGTTTGATTTTCTGAATCAATTTTGATACACATTTGCTTCACTGCGGCTACCAAATTATCAATCTCAAATGGTTCAAACCAATCTTTTAAAGTTTTATCTCCACCCCCTGATAGTTTTCTTAGTGTTAGTAGAAGCCGTCCCAACTGTCTCATTTCTTGTCTTATTAATTCGTGTTTGGTTAATCCATACTTCTCAAATTGTAAATTGCCTAGTTTTAGAATGAGGGGGTCATTTTTACATGTCTCTGTTACTTTATCATCCTTCATAGGTTTTAAGATTTTCTCATTAAAAATTGCTGGCTGGTTATGATCTTGTATTAGAGAACTCATCAACAAAACTCTACTTTCTACCTGAACTCTTCTCCGCTCTATAACTAATGGTTTGTTGAATAATTTCTGTCTCTTAATATTGCATGAATATCTGATGTGATGCCAAAGATGCTTTTTAATTAGGAATCCCAAGCAGTAAGGACACGGTGAGAATTCACTATAAGAAACATCCTCTCCTCGATTAGGCCGACGGACAAGGATCAGTTCACCAGATTTCTTTGATAACACTTCAATGTTGTGATGGTAATCGCCGATTCTACCCAAATCTATAAATCCATTTCTCCTAACAAGAGATTTTTTTGGCATGGCCAACAATTTAGCTACCTCAATTTCTGTGCTATGTATATTTATAAAATGTTTGTGTAATTTTGTCATTACTCTGTAACAAAACATGCAACAGTGACCTTTACTTCTTACTATATTTCCTCTATCATCCCTTTTCACTTCATTTACAAAAATTCCTTTTTTCTTCTCATTTCCTTTTTCTTTACTAGATTGTATTTCTTCTAAGCTATTTTGTTCATTTACGTCTTCATCTTCAACAAACCCTGTTGTCTCGTCTGACTGGTTATTATAAAAATCATTACACTTGGGCTTATTCAAAACAGTGTCATCTTCAACCGAATCTGAGACATGGTAAATGCATTTGACTGGTCTCTCAATCCATGAATCACCCTCTGTAACAGAAATAAACAGTGTTTATCAATATAAAATGCCCAGGAATCCTACTTATTTGATAACTCCTTTGGCCATTGAAACCCTAGGCGGTCTTTGGCCTAGCCAACCATGTGCCTCCAGGATCCTCTGTCTTCTGCCAACTCTAGGTCTGCTCCCATTCTTCTTAGGTCCTTTGTAACCTCGTCAACCCATCGTATCCTTGGTCTTCCCTTTCAACGGAAATATAATACAAAAATTCAATTTAAATTTTCATCAAAAATAAATACAATTTAGTAGTATGGAAAACATTGATATTTCATTACTTGGCCAAAAAATCTATGTTCGACAAACACATCGGTAACCTACCATTGATGTAAAAAAACATCGACTATCGATGCTCATCCCTACAGAGTACCTCTTAGCACCTGCTATACCATCTCTCTCACCTCTGCATTGAATGTGGCCCAGTCATCTCAGCCTTCTACTCTTTACCACTCCCACAATATTTGGTTCCCTAAAGCCTACAATTCTCTCAACTCTCTTTTTTCTTATTCTCCATGAGTCTCTCTCTTTTATTGGTCCAACAATTCATTCATTAGGCTAATAAATAAATGCCAGGATTTCAGGCCGATCAGTATATTGCCCGCAATATCAAAAGGCCTTGAAAGAATTGTGCACTGCCAAATGACGGATTTTCTGACTGACAACAACATACTTTGCAGCTTTCAGTCTGGTTTTCGAACGGCTCACAGCACAGAAACAGCACTATTACGTGTGACGGACGACATTAGACAAGCAATGGAACGTCGGCAGGGTACAATTCTAACACTATTTGATTTTTCGAAAGCTTTCGACTGCGTAAATCATAATCTTCTTCTGGAAAAGTTAAGGGCCATAGGGTTTTCAAATGGTGTATTGGACTGGCTGGGATCTTATCTGTCAGGCAGGCGGCAATGTGTTGAGGTTGATGACGTACGATCTGACTGGGAGACAGTTACTTGTGGTGTGCCTCAGGGGTCAATCCTTGGCCCTCTACTGTTTGTACTATACATAAATGACCTGAGCTCAGTCCTCACACACTGTAAATACCATATGTATGCCGACGACTTACAGATTTATACGCATTTCTCAGCAAAATATATCAATGACAGTGTTCTAAAAATCAACGAAGACATCGAGAAAATCATTACCTGGACTGAAAAACATGGACTTAGACTAAACCATACAAAAACAAGACCAATAATAATTTGTCATTCACGTTTACGAAACTCAATTGACTTTGACACAGTGAACTCAGTAACTATAAATGGGACAGCTTTACTTTACTATGACAAAGTGAAAAATCTAGGACTTACTATAAACTCGACGCTTACCTGGGGAGATGCAGTAGTAGACATACGTAAAAAGGTGTTTGCATCAATCCACTCACTGAAGAAGTTACAGAATTTTTTACCTTTACACATAAAGTTACACCTAGTAAAATCACTTGTCTTCCCTCACTTCACTTACTGTAACTCTGTGATCAATGACATGACTGTAAATCTCGCTGATGCTCTCCAACGCACTCAGAACTACTGTTTAAGATTTGTTTATGATCTGAGACGTAATGAGCGCATCACTCCTTTTTATGTTGATTCTAAATTACTAAAACTATGTGACCTAAGATCAATAAAAATTCTTATGATAACCTATTCAATATTAAAAACAAAATTTCCAAAATATTTTTTAAACGACTTCAAATTTGTAGCTGAAGAAAGTGTAAGAAACTCACGTTCTGCTTCAGTAACTTTGCGTATGCCTCATCATAGAACGGCAGTTTATGACAGAGCGTTTGTTGTTTCTGCTTGTCGCCTTTGGAATGATCTCCCTCTAGCCATAAAAACCCTTGATAGCCGTCCCCGGTTTGTGACAGCACTAAAAAATCTGTTTTCTGGACGTATGGCCATGGTTGGTATATCCTAGGCGTGCGCTTGGTTGATCACTGACAGGTGTGTGTGCGTGTGTGTGTGCTAGTTCTTGCGAGTGTGTGTTGTGTGTGTGCGTGTACGTGTATAGGTGTGTGTGTGTGTGTGGGTGTTTATGTAAGGTGGTATGTTTTAAAAGTGTATTGTTTCTTTTTACATTAAATATTGTAAATAGATTATAGTATTTTATTTGTATTGTACATTGTTTTGTTTTATTTGTATGTTTAGATTTGTATAAACAGGTTAAGTGTAAGAGAGGGCCATGTGGCCCTAACTTTGCCTGACTAAATAAATCATTTTCATTTCATTTCATTTCATTTCATTTCATTTCATTTCATTTCATTTTCATAATAAATGGTCTTGGCTAAGAAACAATTTAGTCAGTAACAAAGCTACGCAGATCATCTCACTCCATTATACATTCACCGTTCATCCACATTCAGCTTAAAATAAACACCGAATTGTGTCTTTCTCTTAAAGAATTGAATTGACCCAATTAGAATTACACAAATCGTCAAGTATGACCTTGCATATTAGAATAAGTTTTGAAAAATTCCTGGATTTAAAAAGTCTTAATTTACAGGCTATTGATAACAAGTAATTAACATGTTAACTACCAGTCTTCACCTCTGTATTAGTTGGCCTTGTGGCACCTGGTAGTGAATGGGTTTAGATAAATATAAAATGGTATAAAGAAACATTAGCCAACAGAGCCTTAAAAAAATAAAATATAGAACTCACAAATGTACATAAAAACTAAATTAGGTTATGACATTAGTGGCCTGTGTTTACCTTCAATAGGAGTTTCTTGATTTTGAGGCTCAAGATACGTCCCCTCTACCATCTGGCCCGTGCTGCTTTCCATGCTTAGCTGGAAAAACATAAGCTAGTTACAAATTTAATTTTCCATACAGGCAGTAGCGGCTAGCCCATAAGGACTCTCGGACGCCGCCCTCCCAACAATACAGAAATCAATATTTTTTTTTATTTATGTAATAAAAAAATAATATGTCGTAATTAAAATTAAATTACAATTACTTACGACTACTTAATCAATATGATAATAATATGAAATGAAATAGTTTTAAATTTTGAATCCAGTAATGACTGTTTTGCGATAGTCGCTTTCATAATGTGGAATGCGGACGGCGGCAACCTCCGTCCCAAACTCAATGCATGTAGTCTTATGGTAGAAACACCTAACAGCGCTGAGGGTGCCGTGACGTCATTCCAATGCTTTACAATAGGGACTCTGGGGCAGAGTCCAAAGCTGCGCGCGCATCCATAAATCAGGGCAGCCACCCTAAACTGGATAATTCTGCATCACACACGATTAGGATAGGAAGAACCATGTTGGCAGCGCTGGAGCCATCATCCACACTGTCACTACCATAAACATTAACTAACCTCACTTCTTTCCATGTCCATGACCACAGTTCAGTTATAGTTTAGTGCCAAACGACCTGTTGTTTTGTGATCAATAGTGTTTAGTGATAGTGATGGAGGCGTAAGGAAGGCAGCGGTAGTTTGTTGAAGATTGAAAGAGCTAAGTAGAAATTATTAATAGTTATACTTAATTGATTGAGTTAGTTAGTTGGTATCTTTGAGTCAATAGCCTAAGTTACGTCTGTAGTTTTAGTATAGGCTAACCTAATCAACCCGAAAACTAAGTAAACTAACCATAGGTAAAGTGACTCGGACAATTTTAGTTATAGTTACTTATTATTAAGTCTTAATAAGTTATTACGGGTAAATTTGCCGTGGGCTGAAGGCCTAAATCTAAATATTAATGGACGGCGGCATTTCGTTGTCGTCGACGGCTAACGTCACTAACGAAGTTAGCCTGATTATCAATGAAGGGATCAAAAATATTGACCACAGAATTTCTTTGAAAAAATTAGGACCTCCTAGACCTTTCATGAACATAAACCAAATTCAAAACAGTTCAAAGAATAAGAATAGCTTCACACGAAAATTTTCGCCACATATGTACAATCATGCAGATTGGCTATGTGGTTGTTCAATTAAAAATTCATTTTTCTGCTACACTTGTTTGGTCATGGGGGTTCAAGATAGAGCATGGACTGTAGACGGCATTTCAGACCTTAAACATCTACTGGAAAAAGTAAAAAAACACAAAACAAGTGAAAAACACATAAATGCGTCAATAGAATATGCTGTTTTAGGTAAAGTTGATATTAGATGCCAATTGGACAATGCATATAGGTTAAAAATACAAAAACAAAATGAAGATGTTTCGAAAAATCGATACATTCTAAGTAAGCTAATTGATGCAATTAAATTTTGTGGAGCGTTTGAATTAGCATTACGAGGACATGATGAACGCGAAAATTCAAAAAAATCCTGGCATATTTCGTGGTTTGGTTAACCTTATGGCGGAGCTGGATGTAACATTGCAACAGCACATAAATCAAACAAATAACCGAGTGTTTTTGGGTCTGTCTAAAACCATACAGAACGAGTTATTGGACTCAATATATTACGTTTGTCTGCAAATGATTCGTGACGAATTGACACAAACCGACTATGTTGCTATTGAAGCCGACGAAACAACAGACTGTGCCACTTTATCCCAACTAGTATTTGTTATTAGGTACGAGCTGAATGGCACGATTCACGAGCGATTTATCACTTTTATTAGACCAAAAGGCCATGATGCAGAATCAGTTAGCGAAACAATTTTTGAAGTATTAGAGCAATTAAACCTCGACAAAACTCCTGATAAAGTCATTGCCCAGAGCTACGATGGGGCTTCCGTAATGAGTGGCCAACACACGGGAGTACAAGCGCGTGTAAAATCTAAATATAAGAATGCAAATTTTGTCCACTGTTACGCACATCAATTAAACTTAATCATTGAACGCAGTGCTACACAAAATAAGCAGGTTAAGATATTCTTCAGTAATATCGAGGGGTTTTCATCATTCTTTTCCCAGTCAACAAAGAGAACTGCAGTTCTCGATGAGATAGTAAAACGTCGTATTCCAAAAAGCTCAGGTACTCGGTGGAATTTTAAATCCAGAATTGTAAGCACAATTTTTAATTATCAAAGAGAGTTGGAGGAATGTTTAAGTTACATACTCGACGATGACACCAATGACTATGCCACAATAAATAAAGCTGTTGGCCTAAGAAGTATTCTAAAAGACGAAGACTTTATTTTCTGGCTGGACTTTTTCAATCAAATACTGCCCCACAGTGACATTCTGTACAACCAACTGCAGCAAACAACAATTGATTGCGTCAAGGCGTTTAAGTTTGTCGGCGATTTCAAAACTGTGGTAGATCGCGTAAGAAACTCGACCATGTTAGATAAACCGAGAGATAGTGAACCCGAATCGAGCAAAAAGCGGAGAAGGCACGACGATCAAAAACGCGTCGTCGCAAAGGAAGTGTGTGACATAATTACGTCGGGAATTGATGACCGTTTTACGTTTGTAAATCATTTGTCCGCGGCAAAACTGTTTCAGCCAAGTTTGTTTGGGGAGTTTAAAACCAAGTTTCCCGAAAAAGAGTTACACGCTGCTGCGGAACTATTTAGCCTAAATAAAACTGAATTGAAACAGGAGTTAAATGTTATTTACAATAGGGATGATTTTTCAACGGCCACAGGGTCATTAAGACTACTCAACTTTGTCTATGACAACAACCTCAAAGATGTGCTTCCAGAGTCAATCAAACTTTTAAAAATCATAAGCACAATACCTATGACTACTTCGGAAAGTGAACGTTGTTTCTCTACTTTGAAACGAATTAAAACGTTTACCAGGAGTACCATGAAACAAGACAGACTAAGTGCGCTTGCTATGTGTTCTATCGAAAAAAAGCTGTTGTCAACTTTAAATTTCAACGAAAAAGTAATAGATCACTTCGCCGGGCAGAAAGAAAGGAGGATGGATTTCACATTCAAACAGTACAATTAAAGTTAGGCCTTATCCTCATGGTATGGTTTTCTACTCATATTGCCGTGGATGTTTTAATATAAAATACAATTAGTCAAGCCTTACCCTCATGGTTTGGTTTTCTATTCGTTATTGCCGTGGGTGTTTAAATTATACAATTCAATCAATGTCAGGCCTTACCGTTTGGTTATCTACTCATTATTGCCGTGGATTTTTTACTATTAAATTATCAATTGTTAGTTATATGTTCAATACAGTGTAGTCCCGTTTTACAAGGCCGTAGGCAGGGAGGGGGTTAGAGGGTCAAACCCCTCCCCCAAAATTCCGAAATTGAGCAGTACAAATTAAAACTAGGTTTAAAAAGTTGAATTATGAAATAGAAACCACAATAGAGGATTAATTGTTATGTTTTGCAATATCTATTCATATTTAATATAGGCCTAGTTCTATTAGGATAATAAATCTGATCTATTAAATAAATTGGTAAAAAATATTTAAAAAATATACTTTACTTTACTCTACTTATGTCTATTTGCTCATGCATGACAAACAACAGGTGAAATGGGAGTTTTTGGACTATTATTGGACACAGTTTTAGGCGTTAAAATTGCTTCAGAAAGTCACCAAACGGCTTTAAAAATTTAAAATTTTTTCAGGGGGAGGACCCCCGGACCCCCCTCTTCTGTTGGGGGGTGCTCCACACCCCCCAAACCCCCCCGAGCCCCCCCCCCTAGACTAGGTCCTAGAGCCGCCACTGCATACAGGTAAGAAACACAATAGACAAATAGAATGAATATAGACCCGCAGCAGTGTTGCGGTTAGCATATGTTTCGGCGCCCTCTGCTAGGAGTGTAGAGTAGTTACGGCACACACCGCTGCAGCGTCAGCTGGCAGCATACTAGACTAATGGTAGATTCCAGACCATTGTTGTAGCATCACATGGTTAAACATAAGAAATCTATAATTGCATATTTCTAGCAGCTTCCTGAATGACCTTAGCCCGCGTTTACCCGAGGCCAGTAGGCCTAGAGGTTTATGGTCCCAGGGAACTTGAAGCATGATAGCTGAGGCAGGTAACCTGTCTGCCAACTAGCCTTGTGTATACACGGCTTATGAGGTAATACAGTGACATAGCCGGGGGGGGGGGGGGGGGTCCTGGGGGTCCGGACCCCCCTTCCGGTCTTAAATATAATATTTTTTTGTTAAATTTAATGTAAAATTATATAATCAATACTGTATTGACATTGGGGTTGATTATTTTCAATGCCATGAGAGCTAGAAAAGACCGTTTTAGGGCCTATATATTTTTAAAAATTTTCCCCGACATCCCTTTTACCTGGGGGGTTATTGAAGACCCCCCCCCCTATTTTGAAATCCTGGCTACGTCACTGGGTAATACAGCACAGTATCATCTGCACAAACTAGTATCATCTGGTTACTACATTCAAATGTATATGATGGTTTATTATTATTCGATTAAATTCTTTGGGTTTGATCTAAAGTTTGTTAAACCAAAAATGAAGCAAACTCCTCCTTCCAGTTATGTTTTTACAAACCTCTCTCTGGTTATTTTGAGTTTCTGGTTCCATTTCAAATTGTGTTGGCTGTGGTTCTATACTTCTCAGGTTTTCAAAATGTTCTTCAATATCTTTTGTCAACAATCTGAAAATCGTTTATCAAATTAAAATGAAAGAAATGTAAATGAAAAGAAGTATTTGTACAGTTAAAGTTCACAGTAAGTTGTCCTATCAGTTTTACTGTGTCAGAAAGTTGGTGTTTTATATAGAAATCAGTCACTTAAATCAACACACTATATCGGGAAAAAACTGTTATTTGATTTTAAATGCAAGAAAGTAATGTATTAAGTAAGTACGGTATCATGTGAAGTTAAGTACAGGGTGTTTACAAAAGAATGTCAGGATTTTAAATGGTAATGGTTTGGATAGGCCTACTATTTAAGGTAACTAAACTTTTTATACATCAAATTGAAGCTAAAATAGCTAAGTTTTGTTTCCCGTATAGCCGGGGAGGAAACTTTGACCTTGGCATGCGCAAAATAGGTGCACGGTGGTAGGCCGCAATTGTGACTCATACGCCTGACGCCCCAGTCGCTAGTACAATGTTTACGGAGCAACAGAAGGCACAGAGTGTAATCTGTAGTTGGCAGAGTTTATATCGATTGCAAAATTAAACTTAATTTAAATCTAACTGATGATAAAGAAATTTGACGCTGATTTAATGAGATTAGTGGCACCTTAGTGTTTTAAAAAGACATTCACCTGGCCAGCTAAAAACAAGCGATGACATAGACAAAGAAATTCAACAATGCTGCATCAGAAGCCCAAAAAATCGATTGCCCAACAAAGTCTTCAGTTGAACATACCTAAATCGACACTTCAAAATGTTATACTGTATACGTAAAAGATGGAGTTGTACCTAAAAAGATTCAGTTAAGACATCAGATAAACCTGCCCATTGCCCTTAGAAGCGTACAGATTTTGCCAATTTTACGCTCATATAAGACTGATGAAAATCTGAATTTTTTAAATTATTCCGAATTGTATCAAAGTATGAGAAAAAACTTTGTTCTTTTTGTAATTTGACGCTTAATTGTTTAAATCATTTAATTATCTTGAATAGTCCTCAAGCAACGACCGGTAAAATCCCGGCATTCTTTTATAAACACTCTGTATTTACATAGTTAATGTTAGGAATAAGCCATCCTAAGAGTTTTTTGACTTAGTAAAAAAATGTGGGTATTCAACATAAATCAGTCATTTAAATCAAGACACTTTGTCTGCGGTTCAATTCAACTACTTCCACATTGATTTACAAACTAGCAACAACATTAATATGGGGATGAAATGTCTTGTTCTACGAGGGTTGTTTTTTAAGTAAGGGCCGTTTTTATTTTTATCAAAAGATACAAATAATTTTGTAAAATAATTGCTATTTTCTGATTCTACACACTTTTACCTATTTTTCTATATAGTTGCATTGTTTATTTAAGGACTTGTCACAACGTACAACTAAGTTTTTAATTCCCTCTTCAAAGAATTCGGCCGCCTGCTCCGACAGCCAAGAGTTCACGGCCGCTTTCACTTCATCGTCGTCATTGAAGCGCTGCCCGCCAAGATGGTGTTTCAGATACCGGAAAAAGTGAAAATCGCTAGGAGCAAGGTCAGGGCTGTATGGTGCATGGTCCAAAACTTCCCAGCCAAAAGAATCAATCAAATCCCGAGTCTTTTGAGAGTTGTGAGGCCTAGCGTTATCGTGCAGGAGCAAAACTCCTTTTGTCAGCATGCCGCGCCATTTGTTTTGAATTGCTCTGCGGAGCTTCTTTAGAGTTGCACAGTAGGCATCTGAGTTGATCGTCGTTCCTCGTGGCATAAAGTCCACTAGCAAAACACCGCGCCGGTCCCAGAACACAGTTGCCATAATCTTGCGCTTTGACAGAGTCTGTTTGGCTTTGACATTGACAGGTGAGGTTGTGTGTCGCCATTCCATTGATTGTCGCTTGCTTTCGGGAGTGATATGAGATACCCACATTTCATCTCCAGTGACAATTTGACTCAACATGTCATCCCCTTCTTCGTCGTAAAGAGTAAAAAAGTCCAATGAAGTGGCAAATCTCTTCACTTTGTGGTCCTCTGTGAGGAGTCTGGGTACCCACCGAGAACACAATTTCTTAAAGTTTAGCTTTTCAGACACAACTTTGTACAAAACTGATCTTGAAACTTGTGGAAATTGCAAAGAAAGAGTGGAAATTAAATTGTGAATCTTCTGTCCTCACGAACCTTTGTTTCGACTGCAGCCACCAAATCATCAGTGATCACAGAGGGCCGGCCTGAGCGTTCTTCGTCATGGACGTTTTGACGGCCATTTTTAAACTCTCTAACCCATTGTCGCACTTTACCTTCACTCATTGCACTCAAGCCATTAACTTCTGTTAACTGACGATGAATTTCTGCAGTTGATATGCTTCTATCGGTCAAAAAACGTATCACTGACCGTATCTCACACGCGGCGGGCGATTCAATAATCGTAAACATTATAAAGTAGCACGTCAGCTACAGAGCTGCAACTGGCATCAGTGTGAACGGGAATGATGCCGGCAAGTGGCGCGGTGGCTTGTTGCGGCATCCGCGCGAACTACGGGACTATACACGCAACCGGCCCTTACTTAAAAAACAACCCTCGTATTAATAGTCAAAGGTAATGCTTACACCAATAAATACTGGCTATTTCTAAGCTATAATAAATTTATAAAAAATTAAACTTACGATTCTAGTTTAGAACGATTCTTGTGACAAACACTAAATATTTTTGAATGGTCGTCTTCAATGTGTATTTCTTCATAATCCCAGTTTGGCTCTTTTTTTATTACAGCTTGACTATTATAGGGATCCACATCTGTATTAGTAAAGATATCACTTTTGGACGATGCGCAAGGACCAAAATGTGTTGAATCTTTAACACAATCTTGCTCAGTTTCAACAACAGTTCCAAAACTTAGCGGATCTGTGCAGGGCTCATATTCCTTGTTGGTGTTAGATAAAATATTTTCCCCCTTAGGTTCACTGTCAACAAAAATCATTCAGTTATTTTATTTTCATCAGTTATAAATCAATATTTTCTAATAAATTACCGTAGCCTACATAAAATAATAGTAATGTACATGTATACACTAAACCCTACTGGTTGTTACAAAGAATAAGTTACTTTGAATTTATTCTAAATAAACATCCTGCTTTGTAACGAAATGGTGGCTTACATCTTTAATTTTTACAATAAGTTCTGTATTGTATTACAACAGGACGAAAAGGATCAATTAATATTACTAAATCTATTAAAATAAGAAATTTTTATTGACTCTTACCTAACTATAATTTATTTGGAAAAAATATTTGACTTTACTGTATTTTGGGTTTATTTGGGACTTTTCTACTGTCAATACTTAAGAAAAAAGGAGATACGTAGTTTATCTATATATACAGGGTGTCCCGGAACTCTCTACCAATATTTTAGGGCATTGTTCCTCGGTAAGAAACATATCTAAATATCATATTTAAATTGTCCGGAAGTCCTTAGTTACTCAGATAGCCGCCATTTTGTTTTTTTCACTTATTAATTTTTTTCTGAAAATTGGTTAAACATACGAAGTTGAAACTTTGCACAAACATTTATGACAACTAGACAAAGCTACAAAAAAATTATGACAATTTTTCAAATTCATAAAACAAAATGGCGGCTGTTTAAAATTTTGTTTCTTAAATTACTCGAAAACCGTTGATGTTACAAAAATTTTACAAGAATAACTTTTTTAAGGCAATTTTATTACAAATCGATCGACACCTTAATCTTTAAGATCGGACGAGGATTAACTGAGATATGGCAGTTTTAGTGATACGTGACCGCTTTCAGCATGCGCTGCAAATAATATCCGGCGGTCACGTATCACTAAAACTGCCATATCTCAGTTAATACTAGTCCGATCTTAAAGATTAAGGTGTCGATCGATTTGTAATAAAATTGCCTTAAAAAAGTTATTCTTGTAAAATTTTTGTAACATCAACGGTTTTCGAGTAATTTAAGAAACAAAATTTTAAACAGCCGCCATTTTGTTTTATGAATTTGAAAAATCGTCATAATTTTTTTGTAGCTTTGTTTAGTTGTCATAAATGTTTGTGGAAAGTTTCAACTTCGTATGTTTAACCAATTTTCAGAAAAAAATAATAAGTGAAAAAAACAAAATGGTGGCTATCTGAGTAACTAAGGACTTCCGGACAATTTAAATATGATATTTAGATATGTTTCTTACCCAGGAACAATGCCCTAAAATATTGGTAGAGAGTTCCGGGACACCCTGTATAAGAGGCAAAGCCCTTACTGACTCACTGACTGACTCACTGACTCACTCACTCACTCATCACTAATTCTCCCACTTCCCATTTACCTAGGAGGCTGAAATTCGGTACACCGATTCTTTGGGCATTAAATAGGAAAACTAAGTAGTTTTTATTCTGATCGGGCTTCCGGGCTCCGCCCCAGTGGCTCTGGAGTTTCCCATGTTAACCTTATGATTTTTCATATTTAAAAGAAATTAATGAATCTTAACAGCTGTTTCAATTGAACAAGTTGGTTCTGTTCTGTGATGTTCAATTATATGTTCAATAATTGAGCCATGCGAATACTTATGAAGTAAAACGGGGCAAAGCCCGCGGGTACAGCTAGTTTAAGTATACAATGCAAACAGCTTTAGAATAATGATTATATAATTCCATATGATTAGCACTTCATTTTTTAATATTGGTAATTGGTCTGATTTTGATGAAATTTGGCATGAATGTGTAGGGTAGGATAAACTAAATGAATTCGCAAACCAGCAAGATCGAGTCTTGGGAATGATGTTATGGAGTTGTAAAACTATTCAACAACTGTTTTTTTTTTCAAATATTTAAACTGAAAACGTAAAAAATATAATTTTTTTGTTAGGCATACAAACCTAGGCCTACTATTAGGCCTACTACTACTATTATAGAGTTAAAAGAAAACCAGATAATTTTGAATATTTAAGCGTTGTTCTACAATAATTATTATGCTTACAGAGAAAAAATAACCTGTTGTAGTTAGGCTACTTCTTTTTGGATATTTTGTAATTATATTTGGAAAATTTACTATACTATAATATGAGCAACCTTTGCGCACAATGTTTTTAAAAACGGCTCCTATGAATCTCTCCAAATTCTTTTTAAATAGTCTACCTACTCTACGGTTAAGTTTACAAAAAAGAAACAATTTTTTCCTTCCCTGTAGCAGGAAACCTATCTAGGCCATACTTGTTAAACCTAATATATTAATTAAATAGGGAATAAATCTGACAAAGTAGGCCCTAGGCCTATACTAAAATAAAAATCCAATCTAAAAATGGATGCTTAGTCTGCAAATTAGTCGCGGCAGGGATTGTCACATTTAATGTTGTGGGAACGGTTTCAGGATTTTATTTTACTATTAAAATTATATAGGCCTATATATAAAATTATATATGTAACAAAGGCAACATTAATCTTAACATAGTTCAATTAACAATTTTTAAATTCGGTTTGCAATTTATGATGTTCCAACATTACCCTATATCATATAATGAGTTCTAGAATGTTACCAAGTGCTATTGAGGTAGGCCTACCTTCTAAAATAAGACGAATCTCTTAAATATATCTCAACTGATCTAATTATGGATATTTCATTGTCTTCATCGTAATCAGGTTCCTGTTTGATGACGGGGAGTAAATACTTCCCATCAGAATCTGAATGTTCGCCTAAGGGGTCCATTCTGAAACATAATAATTCATGTTAAAAGACGCAAGCCAAAGCCGTGTTAGGTTTGACCAATAAGTTATCTAGGAAATTAATTTATTTACACTAACTTATATCAGTTTTGGAGATTGTATATTAATAATATAAAATGCATGCAACCACTTTGAATATGTTAAAAATTTAAAATTTTGGACCAGAATATACAAATTGCAGTTAAGTATCAAAATAGATTAAATAATTTTGCTTTGGATTTAAAAATAAATAAATGGCTATGAGTTGGCTGAGTTATATCAATGCAAAAATCACCGAGGTGGTAAAATATCTCTTTTGTCAAAAATAAAAATGGATTAAAACATTAAACCACTAAATCTGGATAGATTTTATCATTGACTATTGGATACTGAAAATTTTATTTTCATCTTAATTTTGAATTGAAGTAACTCTCAGTAAAATTGGAATTTTCAAAGTAATAGACCATTTATATATCCCCTAGTAGCAGTGCTCAATTTAAAAAAAAAATGAGGTGCTGAAACTGTAACCTATTTAACACGTTTACCTGCAGCATACATTCAAACAGGCACTCGCCAATGGCGGAGAGGCCTAGCACACCACCGAATCAGCGAACGCAATTGGCATTCAAATATTTCAGTCTGACCAATAATAAACGAGCAGCGGTGATTGTGTTGCATTACCCCGAGAGTGGACATAGTTCAATGGAACACCCAAAGGTAGCAGCACTGCCTGGATTTGTAGCCAGTGTCTTTGTAATGTGGCTCGAAGAGAAAATATCCCCTAAACCGGGACAAAAGCATTGCGAAATAGGATTTTACGGGAAATCTTAGAACCAACCTACACAAAAATAAAGCTTGTATTCTAAGCTACAGGCTGGCAATGATTATATCGTTCCCCAGCAATGGCTGAGTTCATACTGAGCTAATGTAGTGGGAGTGGCACGACTACATCTATAGATGTAGTCCGCACTGAAAGTATTAATGTGTTTAGTACCTATTTATTCAAAAGTTTTTATCTTTTCGAAAGAGAGGTACCAGAAAGCTGTTCTGCTGCAAATCGAGCACTGCCTAGTAATAATGCAGATATTTTTTTAGCACTTTGAAAAGTTTTGAGTCTTTTAGGTAAGTTAGTGTCTAAGCCTGGGCCGTATTCCCTATTGGGAAGGCCCAGGCTTCAAATAGGCCTCAAACAAGGCCCCAGGCAATAAGGCCCCAGGCAATAAGGCCTCAAATTTATTTTCTTGATAAATTTATTTCACCGATAATCTGTTTTACGGGAGACGTTAATAAAATCTCCGTGACCGCAAAAGAGCTTAAAAATTTTGCCATAAACGTAGGAGTTGTCTCTCACTATTCACCTGCGATCGCGGAAGATGTCCAGAATTTTATCGTTAACGCGGGAGTCGAAGATCATGTCCTCTCAAACTCGGAAGATCTTCACGATTTGGTCATGATCGAAGGAGACGAAGATGATGTCCCCGCGCTCGCTCGAGATATTGTTCAATATTCCTGCACGATAGATGTTTATGGTTTTCCGCAACCACAGGAGACATTCATGACGAAGATGATGCCTCTGCGGTCGCGCATGATGTTTACTATTTTGACATTAACGTAGCCCTTCACGATACCCTCGCGGCTGTTGTATATGTCCACGATTTTACTGTGACCAAAGAAGACATTTACAATTTGCTTGCGATTTAAGATTTTGTATAGGCCTAAACCAATTATAGTAAGTACAATACCTACCCAAGATCAATAAATTAATATATTTTTCATTCATTATTTCCAAAAATAACCGATTTTGATCCTTTGCCCAAAGGACATTTTTTTTTATTTGACCCGAAATAAATTTAAAATGTCTGGCCCCGACCTAAAACCCCTAACTTAATATTATTATTTTTAAATTATTGACGTAATTATTAGCTAGTGTCCTAGGTCTTTTTGCAGATCGATTTTTGGGAACAAAAGGTCAATTCATCGAGTTGAAGCATAAACCCAATGTATTTCTAAACCCTCAAGTTCCAACCTTCGAAGAATCAGATTATAGAGGGGTCTCTCTGTTGGGACAATAGACAATAGACAATAGACAAGTTTATTAGTCATTAATTAATTCACAAGAATTACAATAGACATCGTCAATTTAAACAATAGAAACATTATTTATAAACAACTATAAAATTTAAGTCTTTGTTTACAAATTGTAAATTGAAGAAATCACTTAACTTGTACATAGGATTAGCTTTACACCAAGAGAGCAGTTTTTTTGAAAATTCATTTAAGGGCAATGCACGAAAATCAACTGGAAACATGTTAAATATTTTGATCCCCAAGTGGGTATGATAGTTTTGAGATCTAGACAGTCTTACTCTACTTACATCAATAAAATTTCTATTTCTAGTTAAGTGGCTATGGACATTTCCTCTTAAAACATGTTTGTTTGAGTTCTTTTTCACAAAAATGGAGACTTCATAAATATACAGATTTACAACAGTTAATATACTAGATTCTATGAACAGAGATTTACAATGGTCTAATCTTTTGGCACCAGTAACAATTCTAATGACTTTTTTCTGTATCAATAACACCTTACCAATACCAACTCCATTACCCCAAATCACAATACCAAATCTTATGATGCTCTCAAAAAATGCAAAATAGGCTAATTTCAAATAGCTATTAGTGACATGATTCCTTAAACTGCTTAATAAACATTTGACTCTGGATAACCTTGTACAGATAAAATCAATATGATGCTGCCAAGACAGCCTATTGTCAATATATATACCTAAAAGCTTAACAGAACTAAAATCACAGATGTCATGGGTTGAAACCAATAAATTGTCAGTTTTGTCAACATTTAAAAGCAAGCCATTTGCAGAGAACCACTCTGTCGATTCACCTAAGGCATTTTCTGATAGGCAGTGCAACTGCCCTAAGTCACTGTGGCTACAGAACAGTGTTGTGTCGTCTGCATAGATTGTGACATCACTACAAGAAACATTAACAGATAGATCATTCATAAGTATTAAAAATAAGATGGGGCCCAAAATTGAACCTTGCGGAACTCCAAAATTAACATGAGTGACTTGCGATGTAATACCATTGACCTCAACCATTTGCCTACGATTACTAAGATATGACACAAATAAATCTAATTCACAGCCTTGAAAACCATAATGAGCTAATTTGTCTACAAGAATGGGATGATTAACACAGTCAAACGCTTTACTCAGATCACATAAGGTGATCTGAGCAAAGCACCTATCCTCTAAAGCGTTAAAAAGATTATTTACAACATGATCCACCGCTAAAGTTGATGAAAGACCTAAACCTATAAGCAAATTGACAGTTACTAAACAGATTACTATGTTCAAAAAAATTACATAGCCTACCTGGTTTTTGACTATTTTTTCCATAACTTTAGCCATTGTAGAAATACATGAAATGGGTCGGTAACTGCTAGGCAAATTTTTGTCCCCTTTTTTGTACACCGGGACAACCCTTGACAATTTCATAAAAGATGGAAAAACACCCTCTATGAGACAGCGATTTATACAATAAGTGAAAGGACTTAAAATAGGGAGCAGCTGGGGGCCTCATCAATTGTAAATCCCTGGTCTAAGCACCAATTATTTGCACTTGTAAGGGACTTTAACATAGATGTCCTGAACAAAAAAGTCCCCATGACTAACCAGTTTCAGGATATATAAGTTAGGAACTCATAACTCCACCTAACTTAATCACCTACCTGTGTGGTGGCCACCAATAAAACTGCCATTGATAATGTTGTCACCAAAGTGCCCAATAGTCATGTAACTGTCATTGAAACGGCTAGGGATCTGACCACTTTATGCAGAAGCCTGTTATCAGAGGATGTTTATTCCGGGACTAACTTATATTCCCTTTTTTTAAGTGTGAAACTTGACATGTCCCCAAGTAACTTAATTACCGGTATCTCTTTTGAATAAAAATCTCTCTGAAGGGACATGGGATTTTTTATATAGTTTCTGTCCAAACAGAAGAAGCTTTTAATGGATAAAAAATAACGTTCTAATTTATAATCTTGATGTCGCCTCTCCATTTAAAAAAATTAAAACTAGATTGCAATAGCCTAACCCCTGGATTAGGCCTACCGAAGGAATTCTGGTTTCTGGACAAAAGAGAAAATTGTATTCTCTGATATAAATTAGCCTAACCAGCGACGAGCAATTCAAAAATATTTTTGGAATGATACAAAAAATGTATAGAAAAGTTATTAAAGCAGCAAAGGCTTAAACTCAGGCCTAAGTTTTGCCATCAATGAGCAAATAGACTATAGCATAGATAAAACATACTCCCTTAGTAGATTAGTCATCCTAATGGAACAGCTGAAGCCAATTTTATTGTTAGTTCTGTACGTCCAACTATAGAGGTTATGTTTTGTTTACAATTTGTTTCTTGTTATTGCAGTCATTTAAAACCTAGTTTAACCAAATAAAACGATACAATCATAAACAATAACTGGTCTCCTAGTTATATAACCAAATAGTAAAGCACAAATCATGAAAATAACCCTAAAATAATAGAAACAAAATGTTGTCTACACTAGCGATCAGTGTGGACGTACATGAACTAGACGCAAAAAACAAGCTTCAAAATTTACAATGGGATGAGGAGTCTACTTGTGTTGCTTAGTCTATGACTATAGGTACCTAAAGAGTGTATCTTAGAGAACATCTCAAAAACAATATAGGCCTACAGTAAAATATTAGCAACAATAACTTACTTACGGTATAAACAAATGTAAACAAGTCAAACAAATTTCACTAACTTAAACGTTGATGGAAAAACTTTGGTCAGGGACTTTCCCATCTGCATTGAAATTTTTTTCAAAAGTCAATCCAATAAATTAAGATAGATAAATAACACAGGTAGATATAGGGTAGATGATCCACAAATTTTAAATGATTAACTTACCGCAAAATCTCAATATTTAGCAGTTTTGAGTAAGTTAAGATATTTGAGAGAACCTTTTGTTCGCCACGTAACTGTGGTCTAAACGTGGCTTAATACACATACAGCGTTCAGTGCTATCAGTACTTATAGATTATGTGTTTGTGACAGCCAAATGCACTAAAGCAGGTTTAAAAGCATTATGATCAAGGACATTTGGGTCCAGTATTAATGCTATTAAATTAAAATGCTACTAAGTTGAATAGCCTAATTAGGCTATTCTTAGGAACAAACCAGTGACTAAGATTGTTGGGGAGAGCACTTTTTAGTTTATTTGACAGTTTGACTTAAATCAGAATCAGCTTATGATTTTCAACAAGAAGTTTACCTTTTTTCTCTTTGACTTGGTTGTGAACTAGGGCTTATCAAACATCGTAGTAATTCCTGGCATGGACTTTCCTACGCTTCTCAAGGCTACAAAAACATGACATGTAAAATTGTATTCCTTACTGTACATAGATCTAACATCTCAATTAGGCCTTCTTAATGGCTACTCAATACATACACATTTTTGTACAGCTTGTCTTTGAAGGTAGACTACTTTGTTGACAGCATTTTCAGAATGAAGGAATGTACGGATGAGAAGAAAAGCGGAATGCTAACCCAGAATAATAAGGTCATAATAATACTTAAATCACAAACCTACTTAATAATAGAACACTTATCCTTTGATATCGACATTTTATCGTTGTTTGTTTAGCAATGTTTATAATTTTTAGAACTTTTTAACCTATTATCATAAACAATATATCAATGTCATATCGTCATACATAAAGGATGAATGAATAAGAACAAAAACAAAACAAAAACAATCATTTCCAAAAATTTTCCTTCTTCCAGTTTGCTAGGCTTTATTAGTTGTCAGGTAGCTTTATATAATAGTGCTAAATGATACGTTATACACTCAAGTATTTGTTACTATCGTTAAAAAACAGAATAACTGCACTGGCCAATATTAGTGTTTTGAACTAATTCTGCTTTGACCTAGGGTAATGGCTGTTGAGAAACATGCCATAAGTCTGAAAACTGGTCAGGATTTACTGTAACTTTGCGAATTTGAGAGGGAAGATGGAAAGATTTTTCGCCTTTTCATTTCCCACCCTTTTTGTATCACAAGATTATGATTTTATTACATAATTTTTAATTATGTTATACATAAAGCCATATGAGCCATAGTGCCAGTGTGTTGGTTGATTTCCCCAAGGTTTCATTGTAAAAGTGTTGTTGTTTATTGGTATTAAGTTATTCTATTGTTAATTAAATTTTGTTTGTATTGCTGTTACTTACTTACTTACTTGATACTTGATACTTGTAGGTATCCCATTAGTAGCACGGGTGTGCCATGGTCGTCAAAGTTTTGGCCTATTCTTGATTTAAGAACTCTTCTACTGAGTAGTAAGGCCTAGTCGTTAAATATAAAAC